TGGCTCCCTGCCCACCACCTCACTTCTATAGGTTTTCTATACAGAGCTGAGTCACATTTGCCAGGCCAAAACAAACTGGTCCCCTACATGGATGCATAAGACTTTTTCAATGTATTGTTTTGAATTTCTTCAGGTAGATAACCAGAAATGTAATTGCTGGGTCCTTTTTTGTCTCTGTTTTACAGTCTATTTTGTCTGTTATAAATATTGCTATCATTTTTTTGTTTGTTTGTTTCCATTATCAGGAAATATATTTTTCTATCCCTTTACTTTCAGTCTGTGTGTGTCTTAAGTTTTAAATTATTTGCTCTTCTTTTCCTCCTTCCAGCACCCATTGATACAAATGTTATGATGCTTGTAGTTGTACCAGAGGCTCCTTACAGTAGTTTTATTTTTTGGATTTCTTTTCCTTCTTGCTGCTCTCATTGGGTGTTTTCTGCTTCCTTATCTTCTAAATCAGTGATTTTACCATCTGTTCCATCTACTCTGCTTTTGATTCTATGTAAGATATTTCTCATTTCAGTTACTGTATTCTTCATTTCTGACTGGTTGTTTTTTATATTTTTACCTCCATTTTTATGTTTTTTATATCTTTGTGGAAGTTCTCACTGAGTTCCTCTACTCTTCTCCTAAGTTCATGGAGTATACTTCAAACCAGTGTTTTGAATTTTGCATCTTGTAGATTGCTTATCTCTATTCTGTTTAGCTTTTTTTTCCTGAAGTTTTGTTCTGTTCTTTTTTGGGGACATGTTTCTTTTTCTTCTCACTCTGCCTGCCTCCCTGTGTTTGTTTCTATGTATTAGATAAAGCTGCTATATTTGTTGGTCTTTATAGAGTTGCCTTAGCTAGTAGATATCTTGTAAGGCTCAGTGGTGCAGTTTTCACGATCACTTGAGTTGGATGATCTAGGTATATGTGCCTGTAGGCTGTTGTAGCCTTCAGTATGGATGCTGCATCAATAGGAGGAATTTTTCCCCAGGCCCATATGCTAGAAGAATCAGCTATGTCCACTGTGAAGGATCTGCTATGCAGGCGCCAATCCCATGGAGGAAGTGTTATTACAGAAGACCTCTGGAGCCTACTGTGTCTGCCCCTTGAGTGTGTCACTTGTGGATGTTTTTTGGCATGGTCTGAAGCTTTCCACTGTGTATGCTGACTCTGAGGCCTTCCAAGGGATGTGGGATAAGGTCAACTACCACCTGTGCTCTGCCCAGGGCCATTTGGCAGAAGCTACAGGGTGATCTGAAGATGGTTACTATCTGTGCTAGGCTGAAAGGTGGCCAGGGGAGGCCAATCTGCAAACCAATGCTGGTGCTACTAGTGTTAGTCTTTTGGGCCACTTGGCAAGAGGAACATGGCACCATAAGGCCAGATGTTGCTTGTTTAAAATATTTTAAGAAAGCCTGAAGCATGAGGCAACACTGCACATTTGTAGGAAAAGCTGCTGGAAATAGCTTGAGTGGGACCAAAATTTGGGTGGGGCAGTGTCTCAGGGAGTCATCAAGGTAGAATGAGCAGCATCAGCCAGGTTGGTGTAGAGTCATATATGGTGCTTGCCTGCTGGCTCTGTGGTGGAGGGCTCAGCAAAGAAACACTGGTCTCTACCCACTTCTTTCGAGGAGAAAGCCATCCCTCCAGTCCTTGCTTAAAGCCAGTCAATTCAATTCCTTCCTCTCCATCCCTGATGTGACTGTTGATCTTCTGCTTCAGTGGTGGAGATCAGAAAAATTGAGTCTGAGTAAGTACATGCAATGGCCCTTTAAGAGGAACTCCTGGGAGTCTAGAAGCTCATCACTTCACTCAGCCACAATCCCTACTGATTTTCACAACCAGAAGCTATGAGCACTTCTGTTTTTGGCACTGAAACTCTATACTGGGTATCTGGTATGTGGGTGGAATCCCTTGCTCACCTTTGCAGATGAGATAACATTCCTGATTTTCAACTGCCACTGGTTGGTGTAAGATTAGCTTGTTCTGCATCTCTGTCCCTCCTACTAATCTCAATGTGTCTTCTTTTTATATCTTTAGTTATAGGAATTATCTTCAGCTGGATTTCAGGCAGTTCTCAGTGATGGTTGTACCTTAGTTTAGCAATAATTTTGATGTGGCTGTGGGAGGATGTGAATACTGTGTTTACCTATGCTGCCATCTTCACCTGAAATCCGGATTCTTCTAATAATTTAGACTGATGTGAGAATTTGTAAGAGTCATCCAACTCAGAAACATTTTTGCAATAATAGAAAAATAACTGAAATACTAATCTACTATGCCTGGAAAGATTGTAAAATTAAAAAAAATAGATATTCAAGAAACTAAAAAGAAGCAAATCTGTAGCTAGTTAGACTATATGAGGCAAGTGAAAATATTCAAAATATAAAAAGTAAAAACTTAGAGAAGAAAAAAGAAGAATCTACTACATAGAATTTCACAACACTCAGCAAGGAGAGTAACATTTTATCACTTAACCTTGGCTAAAGAACAATCCTAAATCCATATTCCTGAAATTCTTTATTATTGAATAATTATACACTTGGAATGCAGCACTAAAAACTTATTCAAAAAATTACTTATAGTTGACACCTTTTAGTTTTAACCAACTAAGAATCATAGAAGAAAAGTTAGATGTTACTTAAGTTTTCCTTGAACTTCTATTACTTATTACCTTCAAAACACCTATAAGTTTTATGAAGCACTATTTATATTCTCTTTGGAGGAACAACATCATTGACATGGCAAGTATTAGGACATATTTTAGAGGTTTTTTTTCTAGAGTAAAGAAGACTTGATACTAGGCTGTCAAGTTAATTTTCTCTCCGTGCTCACATATAACCCTGTTAAAATAGTGATTGTGACTGTCAGCTTGGGTATTATCAGGAGTGGTTTCCAGTTGCTATGTTGTTGATTTTCAAAGTAATGGTCAATATTAATAAACAAAATATAATAAAAGATTATTATGTTCAGTCATGTTTCCTGGTAGATCATTGAGGCCTATACTCTGAGCTGTGTAGAATTACTCACACAGTGGATGCAGAATGAAGAGTGAGACCATGGACTGTGCTTGGAAATTCGTCAACATACCAAATTCCCAGGAGTAACAGGCAGAGTTTTATTTTCATTTTTTAACTTAAATATGACTTGAATATTAGAGGATAGGGAATTACCAAATTTAAAAATGGCTTCAAGGTGAATTTCAGGACAGAAGCAATTTACTTATGCTAATGTCAGCTAACATATACATAAGCAGTTTCAAATGACTTTCAACACTTATTACCATAATGCTATCTTTAGGCATTGATGCTGCTTAACAATTTAAACTTAATATATTAATTTTTTGTTAAAAGTGATTAATGTGTAAATATTCAATGCAACTCATATCTATATTATTTTATGTAACATAAATATCTTTTATATCACTGTCAACTTTTCCATTTTCTTTTTCTAATCTTGTATCTTCATTGTCACCACAACACCTGCTTCTGAAATAAACCTGATTTGGGAGGTTTTTTTTCCCAAAATAGAGAAATCTGAAAACACTACTATAAACCTATCTGCCTTAATTTATGTACTGCATGTTCCCTCTTCCACTGAATGAATGTTTAATTTGAGTAAATAACTTATTTTCCTAATTCCAAATTTTCTTTAAATTAATTGGGATTATTTGATGGAATAAATTAAGATATCTTTCTTCAAATAGAAACAGGAAACTGTTCAAATTCAAATTAAATCCAGGATTTTGTTCAGTGTAAGGTAGCAATGTTTGCTGAATTTTTGATGAATGTATCTTAATCATTAACACTGGTAGAAATTGGGTGATTTGTTTATAGAAATTCTCTGTACTATTACAAAAGAAAGCATTTGAAAAATAAGTGTGTAAGGAATAAAATTAAGGTTTCTTGTTATAAAAAAATTTCTACATGGACCTATAAGCATGACTGATAATTAAAAATTGCTATCAAAGATATTTATTGCTAATTTCCACATGTACATTGTCTGTTTCTCATGATGTGTGGTGGTTCAATACTAACCGAGAAATCTTAGAATTTTTTGAGAATTGACAGGTTATAAAGCAAATGGGTATAATATTATAAAAAGCAGTTTATATAGCACTTATGAAACTGAAAAATGGCCCTGGATGGTGTAGCTCAGTGGATTGAGTACTGGCCTGTGAACCAAAGGATCACCAGTTTGATTCCTAGTCAGGGCATGTGCCTGGGATGTGGGCCAGGTCCCTAGTAGGGGACATGTGAGAGGCAACCACACATTGATGTTTCTCTCCCTCTCTTTCTTCCTTCCTTCCCCCCTCTCTAAAAATATGTGTACAAAAAAGACATCTGTAATTATGATTTGTTGCACAATTTTTAGTTATGAAAATATAAAGTCTAACAGTAGTTGACACAAAGTCTATCAAAGTCTATTAATAATCAGCAAGTGTTGAACATCAATTAAATTTTAAAGTTTCCTGACATAAAATTTACCACTTAATATCTTCAGAACTTTTGTTGGAAATTAATTGGGAAAAGATGAATTTTTTGAAGCTAGGTATAAATAATTTAAAATCACTTTCATAATCTAAGAGAATATTGTTTAAAGTTATACAAAATAAATATACCTAAATAATTATTAAAAAATCCTTAGCATAATCTCTAGTACATAATTTATCATAATATATAGCTCATCTTATATTCTGAAGTGGGTATGTTTACTAAGATAAAATCAAAGATTACAGGTAACTAGTAAATAAAACCACAGATTATAGGTAACTAGTTTTAGGTAATTATAGGTAATGAGTCTATTACCTAAACTCATTACCTTGAAGGATATTTCTGCTATTTGCATATTTAAAGATATACATTTTCTATGTGAGATTAACAAAACAAATATGCACATTTTTATTTGAAAATAATTGCTTAGCCATGCAAACTTTACAGTTTAAATCTTTTTAGTAAAGGTTTGTGTGGAAAAGACTACCCCAAACAAGGGGAAATAGCTTACATGTGGTGACAGAATATCAATCATTATGAAAGTTCTTGAATAATTCTTTTATGTTTCATACATATACAGTTGTATGTGCATAGATTTACAGTATATGAAGAACTATTCTAATCATTTCTTATTATTTAAAATAAGTGAAATGAATAAGAAATAAAGAATATTTAAATATGGAATGGATCTTAGTTTCTTGATCAGTTAACAATTGCAGAGTAGAAGAGGCAACAAAGGACTGCTTACATTCTTGAGTGTTCGTTGGAACTCGGAATTAAATTTCAGGTGTTTGTTTCCACCACCATCTAAAAGAGAGATTAACCAGGTTCCGTCAAACCACAGAAGCCTCCACTTCTTATTTACATATGAATTTTATCATCTGTTACCCAAGGCTATGTCACAGAAGCAGGCACTTTTTCCTATGGACTCTGCATTTATCCTAGAACAATCCCTTCTCTCAGCTTCTTCCACCCCATTTATCTGAGGCCAATGTAAATTCTTTCAAAACAATTTTCTATACCTACTTGATGTATAAAAACACTCGCCAACTAAGAGACAATGGACGTGCTTGCCTTTTCCACCTGACAGTGCTGATGGTGGTTCAGAGTCCATGCCTACCAAGCTGTGTTCATATGTTCGTTTGTTTTTGCTAACAATGTCCCAATAAAAATTTTATTTTCAAAGGATTTTTAGTCACGGAACTTAAAAGTTTGTTTAAGACTAGTTTCTGGACTTCTGCCAAGATGAAGGTGTAGGTAGAATCAGGATGCTTACAGAACTGGTTGATTTTAGTCACAAATTAGAGGAACATATGAAGGATAAACTAATTGAAATGAAGAGAAATGCACAGGAAACCAATAGTAATGGAAAGGAAACTGGGACTCAAATCAAAGGAGTGGACCAGAAAGAGGAAAAATATGACCAAACAGAAAAGGATGAAGAAACAAGAATTCAAAAAAAGGAGGAGAGGCTTAGGAACCTTCAGGACATCTTTAAATGCTCCAACATCTGAAATACAGGGCTACCAGAAGGGGAAGAGGAATAGTCACGAGTGGAAACCTTATCTGAACAAATAATAAAGGAGAACTTCCCCAATCTGGCAAAGGCAATAGACTTCCAGGAAATCCAGGAAGCTCAGAGAGTCCCAAAGAAGTTGGACCCAAGAAGGAGCACACCAAGGCACATCATAATTACATTAGCCAAGATTAAAATGAAGGAGAGAATCCTAGAAGCAGCAAGAAATAAGGGGACAGTCACCTACTAAGAAGTTCCCATCAGACTGTCAACAGATTTCTCAGAAGAGACCTTACAGGCAAGAAGGGGCTGGAAAGAGGTATTCCAAGTCATGAAAACCAAAGACCTACATCCAAGATTGCTCTATCCAGCAAAGCTTTCATTTAGAATGGAAGGACAGATAAAGTGCTTCCGATAAGATCGATAAAGATCTCCGATAAGATCAAATTCAAAGAGTTCATCATCACCAAGCCCTTATTATATGAAATGTTAAAGGGACTTATCTAAGGAAAAGAAGATAAAAAGAGGAACAGTGAAAGGACAGCAAACTCACAGTTATGAAGAACCACACCTAAAACAAAAGCAAACTAAGAGGACAGCTAGATCAGGAGCAGAACCATAGAAATGAAGATCTCATGGAGGGTTAGCAACAGAGGAATGGGAGAAGGAGAAGGGTGGATAAGGTACAGAAAATAAGTAGCATAGATGGTAGGTAGAAAATAGATAGGGGAGGGTAAGAATAGTAGGGGAAATATAGAATCTAAAGAACTTGAGAGACATGGTCATAAACTAAAGGGGGGAATGGTGGGGGCAGGGGTGTGCAGGGTGGAGGGGAATGAAGGGGGGAAATAGAACAACTGTAATGGCAAAATCAATAAAATATATTTTAAAAAAGACTATTTTTAGACTTTTCAAAGTATATTATGTTATTTTAACTTTTTATTCCAAATGAATTAAATTTTAGTCACATATCATCCTTTTCTTGAACATTTATAATTGAGATCATTTGTAAAACCTTGACAATTCATTGTCATTAAACCTTTACTTTCTGTTGCTTAACCTTTAAAGCAAAAAACTTATGCCCTGACCAGTGAGGCTCAGTTGAGTGGGTGTTGTCTCACAAAGCAAAAACTTGCTGGTTCTACGCCTGCTCATGCTTCATTAGCAAATTCTGTCTCCCATCACAGGGTGTAGAAGAGGCTATCAACTGATGCTTCTCCCATTGATGCTTTTCTCCCTTCTTTCTTAAACAAATAAAATCTTAAAAAAGGGTTTTATTGAGGCCAAATTACTTTTATCACACCTTTGGACCTAAAAGTATTTGCCTACTTTTTTAAATGTTTATATATGCTATGTTTTACTTTGTGTTTTGAATTTAAATAAAACATTAAAGCAAAGTAAAGATGATGAAAAACAGCTTTACACCAATGTGATATCTCTTATGGGCCTAATAAAAATAAAAAATTAGATTTATGATTTTAAGAACTTACTGAAAAAATCAATACATTTAGTTTTGACTTAAATGTGAAGCTTTTAAGAATTCATTGTTTTTTCTCTTTCGGTTCTTCTCTTTGCAATTGAGTAGGGGATATTGCAGAAGGCCACTGGCAAGAAAGCTACAGGACTGGATTCTGCTTCAAACCAGAGTAGCAGCACACTGCTCTGCCCTCAGCTAATTAGAACACAGTGTCAGCAGTGCCGTGGAACACAGAAGAGATGCACTCAGGCTCAGAGAAAGTCTGTAAAATTGCATGTGCACAGGAGCTCTTGAGATTGTCCTTTTGGTGACTTATGCTCATTGTAATAATAAAAACACACTCCTGAGAAGAGATTTAAAATGCTAATGACACATGCATTTGATATTGGAGCATGTAGCCAGCTCACTCAAAGAGAGACCTGGAAGGTCAACCACAAAGCTGGACTCCCCCTGAGGTATTTACATGGCCTCAGCAGAGGCCAGGGAGCCAGATTCACTTTGAGTGTGTGCTGCTTTGATGGATAAAGTTTTGGTCTCCTCCCTCTAAAGCTTAATAAGCATTTTCTGTTCTAACACTTGTCTCTTCTGATTTCCGTCTGGGGAAAGCCAAGAACCCACCCTTTAGTCTGTGATAGTATTGCTCTTCTTGCTCTCTTCCACTTATCAGATTATATACTTATTTTCAAGGCAAGAGATACTGGAGACTTTTGGTGGTACCTTGGTTTGAATTGCTGATTTACTCTAACTATTCAGAGGATCCTTGCAAGCTGCCTTTGAATCTCTCTAAACCACTTGTCAGCAATTTTCCACAGGGTTGTGGGCTCAACAGACTTATAATATTGTGCTCATTTACACACTTCATTTCCTTCTAGGAATTTCAAATTTTCTGTAAGTTGCTAGCATTATGTGTCCCCTTGTTCTTGTATTATGAGCTGCATAAAGAGATGGGATCAGTAGTGTTTTAACAACCTATTCATCACTGATCACACTGCTGAAAGGAGAGCATGTTTCTCTCATCCCAAGTTCTGGTTTATTGAGTTACTCCTAGGTTAAAGAACTCTTTAAGTTGCTCTGATCACTCCCCATTTGGATAGTATGGGAGGAAAATATTATATTCTGCTCTTAGATTTTTTTCAGCTGATCTAATAGTTAACACAAGAGAGAGTAACAGGAGAAAAACAAATTTAAGTAGATGTGTACAGGGGCCCCATAAGAATATCCGACTCAGGAATACCTCTCAGGCTACTGAAGCTTCAATATATTGCAGCCTGAGATAAGAAATTTGATGGGAACCTGAGACTTCAAAGGAGTGGAGGGTGATTCAGAAGAAAATAAGAAAAACACATATTTGGTAATTAGATGATTTTCCTGTCCTACCAATTGGTCCTCCAGATAAAATTTTTCTCTGGTAATAGCCCCCTTTCTTGGCCTGGCCCTCTATCTAAATTGTTTTAGGCAGTTAAGGGAAAGCTTAAAAGTTTTTCTTAAACTTTGTGTGTCTTCATTGTATTCAGCTTGAGTTCATGTGCCAAACTGTCACATGTGGGAGAGGCTCATTCTGAGACCCTTCAACAGACCATTTTTAGTTTTATAGAAGTAAACTTCGATTGTACAGGTATCACCAACTTTTCGAAAATTTGCCTTATGCTACTCCACTTTTACAAACAATTTACATTTGTAACAGTTTTTTTGCTAAGAAATTTTTAAAAATTACTTTTGTTAAAAGTAAAAGAGAAAACCAAAAATAGCATTCAGCATTTGCTTTGCTGAATATAAGGGCAGCATGCAGGCAGCAGCGAGAGTGGCATCGCCAAAGGCCCCCCAGAGAAACACGCTCAGCACTTCAGCATCACGCCACCACTTCCTTTGTCTGAGAGCATCTTCTCTGTGTTGTGTGCATCCATTAGCAGGATGTGTCCTTGGGTAATTGCTTCTTCAATTTATGCCATTTCAGCTGAGGGAAGATTTCATAGGAATCTTGTACTTTTGAACAGTGGGAGAAAATTTATCTAAGAACACAAAATTCTGAAAGTTAACAATCTGTTTTTTATATTTTTACTTCTTAAATAACATTAGCCTCAGAGTTAGTGATTGAGCAAATTTTTATTTTCACAGGAACAACACAATATTCTGGGTATCCATGCCAAAACACTGGCACATCTGGTCTTATAATTTCCCTATGACAATTCTCTACTGGTACATATTATTTTTATTTATTTTTTTTACTTTTACTAATTAATTGAATGTATTGTTTTATTTGTCTTTAAGATGGTACATAACTTTTGATGAGTCAAGTTAACTCTTTATATGATTGTATATTGTTGAGGATGCTGCTGATATTAATGATGGCATGCTTAAGTGTGCTTATGCTGTAGCAGACATAATGAAAATTAAAACAGATTGTGTAATCCTTCATTACATCATTTAGTAAGGGAGAAAAATAAAAGTTTCTACATATGTAGTCATCCTTCTGTTCCTGGTATGTGTGTGATATGATATTTATTTATTTATTAGATTTTTATTGTTGTTCAAGTTCACTTGTCTGCATTTCCCCCCACCTTCCCCCCAACACCAGCCATGCCCACCTCCCTTCCTTGGATTCCACATCCCCTTGGTTCTTCCCATGTATGGCCATTACTGGTGTCCTAATCAATAAAACCAACAAGCAAGCAAAATATAACCAGAGACATTGAAATAAAGAACAAACTGACAGGAACCAGAGGGGAGGAGGGAGAGGATAATGGGAGGAAAGGGGGAAGGGTTTTCAGGAACAACTATAAAGGACTCATGTTCCTGATATTTAGAAGAAACATA